AAACACTCAAAAATGGAAAAATTTGCCACCCGGAGACCGGAAAAGACTCACCAGGAATGCCTTGTGGGTTTACATGTTGAATTTAATTAACTTCGGGGTGAAATAATGGATATTTATTTCTTTTAGAAGATGTTTTTGAGGACTCCATAGGAGTTGTTGTTTCGTTGGTGGGGATCTAGATCAGCTTTTCCCTATGGTATACTGCCATACAAATCTTTATGGTTTCCATTGGCCTATGGTATACTGCCATACAAATTTCTATGGTTGCCATAGGCCAATGGTGACGCGCCATACAAGTCCTTATGGTTACCATTGGCCTATGTACTGCCATACAAATCTTTATGGTTACCATTGGCCTATGGTATACTACCATACAAATTTTTATGGTTGCCATAGGAGAATGGCGACGTGCCATATAAATGCCATACAGGCCTCTATGGTTACCATTGGCCTATGGTATCTTGCCATACAAATTTCTATGGTAGCCATAGGCTTATGGGGTTGTGCCATACAAATCTCTATGGTAACCATAGGCGTAAGGTATCTTGCCATGCAAATTTCTATGGTAGCCATAGGTTGCCATACATTGCCATAGGCTTCTCTATGGCAAATTTTCCTAAGGGTCTGATTAGAGAAAAAGCAGATTATACACAATAAAAAAAATGCGAAAAGTTGAATAGTTTGAATTAATCACAGCAAACGCATCTGCCGGAAAAAAATATTGCATTGACGAACTCTTAAAAGAACATGATGCTTTGAGACTCCCCTTTTATCATCGTGACTTAAATCCCATAGAATTAATTTGGGCAGATATTAAACGTCATTTTAGAGAAAGAAATGTGATTGCAGGTAGGAGCTTACAAATTTTCAAAATCTTGCTTCAGAAGGCATACAAGATATTGGAAATGAGAGATGGAAAAAGCATTGCACACATATTGAAAACACGAAAAAAATTATTGGAAAACTAACGGAATTGTCGAAGAAGTTGTGGAAAATATTTCTTTTTCCATCAATTCTGATACTGAGAGCAATTGATACTGAGAGCAATTCTTGTAGTGATAGTTTTGACAATGAAATTTAATTTTACATTGTACCTCGTAGATAAATCATGTATGTTTGCAACGTTCATTTTTAAAAGCAAAGTATGTGATGAATATTTTTTTAGAGAGAATAAATAAGCTATAATATAATCAAGAAATTCAGATAAGTTTCTAATTGATATTTATTTTTTTATAATCAATGCACTGAAAAAAAATGAAATTTTCATTAAATAATATTATTTATTAATGAAATAATTTAAACCAGATTTCTTCATTATTATGAAAATATCTATTTTGAAAATTTCTGTAAGTAGAAAGTAATGTAAATAAAGACTTATATTTTTGTTTTTGTAAAATATTTCTAAGTTGTCAAAGTGAGTACTATTAAGCATATCTTTAAAGAAGATTTTTAATTGTTTTAGTTTCTGTGTTTTACTATTTTCTTAAAATTTAATAATTTTGGATGAATTTTAATTCTGATTTAAGTACATTACATTTCTTTTTGTTGAAAATATAGTTATTAAATAGGGTACTAGTGACAAATGAATGAAGTTTATGATGGGTACAGCTAAAGTCAAAGTTATTTTAACCAAGTTTCATTATTGAGTATTTTTGTAAAATTCTATTTTTTATAATAATTTTTTTAACGGAAAATTATTCACATTTTTTTTTTGTAAAATTATAAAAAAACAATTAAATTTATTTGCAAACGTGAAATTATAGAATTGAAGAAAAAAAAATTTATGAGCCGCTACTGAAAATTTTTGAGTATTGTGCTAGTCATTTAATGTTATTCCCAAAAAATAAATGATACTTGTAAATTTTTATTTTAGAGTTTTCTATTTTAAATTATTTTTTCCTAAAACTGCTTTGCAGCAAAATTTTTTCCTTCTCCCAAAAATAGCGCAATAGTCTCGTCGGATACCACGTGATGAAGGCGAAGCCAAGTGCCTGGTGAAGGATCCATATCATGACATTCAAAATGAAAACATTAAAAATGTTGACATCAAAATAAAAACATTAAAAATGTTCCTGTTAAATCTTGACATAAGTTTTTTTATAATTTTTGAAAAATTGAAGTTCAAAAAGAAAGAATTTTTTCTCACAATTTTTAATTCACATAATAATATTGGCGATCGAAATGGGCTGCAGGTGGCGTAGAGCAGAACTCTTTTCCTATGGCAACACTTCACATGCTTTCCCCATTAGCGTGTGGAAAGTCATAGAGGAAGCAAGAACGTTAGTTTCTCTCTTGATTTTCACATATATTAAAATCTTTTTTTTAACTTGAAAAACTATATGGAACTGAAAACTACATTAAACATAGTTCTAAAGAAAAGTATCATAGAAATTTCAAAAAATATTTTTATTAAATAAAAAGGAAAAATATTAAGAAAAGGGAAATTATCGTAGTGCATTCCTATACAACTGAAAAGAGGAGGAGAGGGAAGGGAGAAGGGCTGAAGGTATGAAACCGGTCTCTCCCCAGATGGCGTATTCGAGTGTTGCGATCGCGAATACACTCAAGAGCCAAAACATTATGACCACCTCCTAATAAAGAGTTGGCCCACCTTCAGCCCGCAACCCGCCTTGGCATGGATGCCACAAGACCTTGGTAGATGGCCGGAGACAGATTGTACCAGATGTTTAAGCAACGGTCACGCAAATCCGAGATATTGCGACTTAGTGGTCTTTGAACTCTGAGCTGCAGTTCCATGACATCCCAAATGTGTTCTATCGGATTGAGATCCGGTGAGTTAGGTGGCCAGGATATTAACTGGAATTCAGCATCATGTTCCTGGAACCACTCCAACACAATTTGAGCTTTGTGACACGGAGCGTTGTCTTGTTGGAAATTCCATTTCCTACTGGAAAAACAGAGGCCATGTAAGGGGTGGAACTGGTCCGCAATGTTCAGGTACCCTGTAGCATTCGTGGTCTGCTCTACCACAACCACGGGACCCAGAGACGGGCAAGAGAACGTCCCCCAAAGCATAATACCGCCACCACCGGCCTGTCTAGGACCTACTGTACATTGAGGGAGCAACTGTTCGCCTGGAAGACGGCGTGATGAATGACAAACCGTGATTCATCTGACCAGGCAACTCTCTCCCACTGATCCATGGACCAGTCGCGATGCTCCCGGGCCCTGCGCAGGCGTAGTTGGCGATAACGCTTGGTCAGCAAAGGCACACAAGTGGGATGTCCGCTGAATAGTGTGCTCTGATACTATTCTACTTGACCCTGCATTGTATTGGGCTGTCAGCTGAGCCACTGTCTGGCTCCAGTTTTGCTTCACCAAGTGAGACAATCTCCGACGACCTTTTTCTTTGATAGCGTGCGGACGTCCAACACCATGTCGTCTACTGCTGGTTTCACCTTCATTCATCCACTTTGCATAAGTACTAACAACTATAGATCGCGAACAACCCATGAGTCGTGCAGTTTCGAAAATACTTGTTCCGAGCCGATGAGCCATTACAATCTGCCCTCTATTAAAGTCGCTTAGATCAGCAGCCTTTCCCATCACACACGGAAGTAAGTGAAAGAATGATTCTTCACTAGACTAGATATAGAGTGGTTCGAAGTGCCTGCCCGCAAAGCGGGCATCTGACTTCTTCATCTAATAATGTTTGCCCTTGGGCGACTAAGACTTTTGGCTTTAGGCTAGGGAGGGGAGAATGGAGTACGGGGGAAGTCCCCTGAGTCAAAGAAAATTTAAAGATGATGAGATTGATATATGTACAACATTAAGTACAGATCTGATAGAATAATATTAAGAACAATATATTACATTTACATATGATTCTTCAAACTCTCCAGCAACAGTTAAATATCACTTTCACCTGATCATGCGTATTCCACGTCATCCAGGAGAGTTCATTGCAAAATGTAGGGGTGGTCATAATGTTTTGGCTCTTGAGTGTGTAAATATTAATCAAGAAAAGTTCTTAACTGCTTTTTTTTACAAAATAATATCTAATTTAAGTAAAACATAAAAGCAAAAGGATGCCAAAAAATTTTTTATAAGGACAGTTAAACATTAATTTATATTGATCACATTTAACTTATATTGATAATAAAACAAAACAAATAGTGAATAGTACGCAAAAGGTTTTCAATTTCTGTTATCTTTAGTTTCTGTTGATGAGATGATAGTCTTTGTTTCAGTTTCTAAACTTGCCTGCAAATAATGCAAGCTTGCAAAAATTATGCCAGCACATTTTTTAATTTAAGGGATACGATGCTACAATTTAAACTTTTAAAAAATCCGAAAATCTTGCATATTTTCAACATTCACAATGTCCTCAAATGAAAACTATTGTTATATACTATAAATATGATTTTTTTTCTGTAGTGGCTGAGAGTGGACATTGGAACAAAGGTATTACCAGCATTTAAATTATGGGCGTTTTTTTTTAAACGATTGCAATTAAAGTCTTGCAGTCAGATCAAAACATTTTTATTTCACTGATGAGAAAACATTATTTTGATTTAAAAGATAAACTGTACTTCTTTATTTAACATGCAAATGCTTTTGAGCGGTACTGTAATTTTCCCACTCCCCATATTTTTTGTATCATATTAGTGTTTTTTCTACATTATCTCATGCAATGTATTTGTTTATCCAGATGTATTTTCATGATATGTTATATTTAACCACGCTTCTTCTGTATAGTCACTATTTTTGACGCTCATCTCCCATGGGTCTTAAATGCCACTAATCAATATTCTATTATAGTTACATAACGTCTGTTTATATCTGTTTCTCTAAATAATTATATAGTAATTAATAAATAATAAATGTAAGGATCCTAACGGGAGCTCTGGCGACGTTGCAGATGCTAGGGTGGGCTTGTGATTAGCGACTGACATCGGGGGAAGCGTGGTATGTCGCCGTTGTAACTGTTTTCCTGGTCACAGTTTTTCTTTCTGATAGATGCCCCCTCCGGGGGCATAGGTGCAGAGCTGTGTGCCGGCGTCCATGTCCATGTAC